CCAACCTAAACAATTCTGTAATTCTGTGATTCTATGCCCTAAAGCTCTCTAGAGTTTGTTTCATGCAAGCAGCCAGGGAGACTGAATTCCAAAGGTAAGGGGCTACCACTGAGCAAAAACTATATGATGCTATTCAGAGCTTTATAATTGTCACTGCATTTTTCCATTGTACTGGAAGTAAACAGGAGGTCAGGCAGCTCGACTACCCATGTTTTTTGATGCGTTATAGTTCTCTTGTGAGACTGAAAAGGTAATTATTTTTTTTTTAGTATGTAAGGACAGTAATCTTATAGCTGAAACTAAGGTAAATATTTAAACTGGAAACTAGCGGAGTATGGGTAATATCCTGCTTTTAGAGACCTAACAGTTTGGATTATCCCTCTGAAGAGGAGAGCAACTTTGGCACATGCTTTCAGCTGGGCAGGGATGGCAAGTAAGAAGTAATTCTTAGATGCTGTAGCTATATATGCTCAGATTCTGCTGTTCTCTGAAATGCAATTTCAGAGTCATGGATAATAAAACTGCATATTCTGCAACTGAACCAGTCCTATTTAGATTGAAATACTAGAGACTTAATACTCGAGACTCAATATTGCTTCCAAGCTTGGTTGCTGTATTGTGTTAGCAGCCCATTGTCCCACTGCTGCATTCTAATCAGACCAGTCTGTCTGCATTTTCGGAGCCAGAAGCCTCCAGCAGTGAGAAATATTTCTCTGAAATTAAATGAACTCTGTTCGGTCTCTAGCAGCTGTCATTCGTCAAAATCTTGACAGTTCACAACTTGACATAAATACAGAATATCAATAAAAATGTATCTAGCAAATGGACCCTGTCTACTTGACCATAAAACAAATGGAGAGTAAACTATTTGAGTATGAAGCTAGACAGAAAACAATGCCCCAAGGACCTCCTTGAAATTAAAAAAAAAAAAAAAAGTGTTTTCAATGTAGTTTATAAGGAAACTAATTTCATGGTCATTCACTGTTCAAAAATATATGCGGTTGCTTAGCCTCAGGGTACTTGAAAAAAGGATTGTACGGTACAGTGCTTGCACCTGTAAGCCCCAGGCATAAAGCTCCATGTTAGTGCACTGCAGGTTATGCAGTGATAAATCAGCAACCAGTATCATAGGCTTGATCTACCTAAGGAAGGTACTGCAGTGTTGCTGTGACACAGATTCTTACAGTGACTATTCTTTTGTGTTTTTTTAAAAAGCTGTTGTTGTAAAGTAAAATTCATTTAAAGAACATCCGTAAAAAGATTCTGTACCAGACTATTTAAATCACGGTTTAAAACATAATTTATTCACTGCTGCAGCCTTCAAGGCTTGGAAAGCTTTCAAAACCTGAATCCTGTAAAGGCTTTCACATTTTAAAGAGGACGTTTTGAGTCTTGGTCATTTCCATAGGCAGCCAGCGAAATCAGTACAGTAGCGGGTAACAAATTTCTATGCCAAACCTTAATGCAAGTTGGCAGCAATGGATAAAAGTATGTTGTAACTCATAATGCTCAGAACATTGCAGTGGTAGATCCCCAATATCTCAAAGAGATACATTAAGATGAAAAAATCAGTGTGACATGATTGAAATCAGATGACATTGTTAAAGTGGTGAAGCTTATTTTTAGTTGTGACTGAACCACAGCTAGGCTCTGTGAACTGCTGTAATTCTTGAAGGCTACAGAATTATTGTTTTACTTTATTCAGAGACTAATTTCTTTTCAGGAAGTTACTATAATATTGATCATTTGCTCTATGCCTATGTTCTTTAGTCTATAGAAGACTCGATGGTACAGTTGAATGTTGTAGTAACAACAGCCTCACAGACATTTGCTTTTCATATAGCAATAACTTGGACAGCCACCTGGTAAGTTACTTAAACTTCTAATTCTGTTTGGTAAATTTGAAATTATTTAAATTAGTACTATTTACCAACATTTATGCAGCATGCTCAAGTGCTTAAGAATACCTACAGTTTGTAATAAAGGTGTATATGTGTGTTATTCTCCCCATTTACAGCTTAAAAAACCGAAGTATTGTGATTTTTTCCTACGATCAATCAGGGAGTCTCTGGAAGAACCAGAAAAGATCTTATACCCCTCATTCCTTTAGGCAGAAAGACACCTCCCCCATTTTCACCACTGAATGAGAATATTGATGAGAAAAAAAACTTTTGAGAACAAGGTGAAATTGCTTATTTTTGTGCTTCAGTCTAAAGGTACTGAGCGCTATGGGCAAAGCAAAGCACTGGACTATCTGTTCAGTTATTTTGTCTGAAGCCGGCAGTGCTGCTCGCTAGGTTAAACTAAAAACATGCAAAGAGAGGGTCCTAGAGGTTGCGCCATTTCTCAAAATCAGGGCCTCTATTTGATTCCTTTTTCACCATGTTTATTTGCTTGTAACATGTGGAAACATATAAAGTTTCTCAGTAGGATTTTGTCTTACTCTCTTCAAAATACAGAAATGTTTGTTAAAATACATGATCCATATTGACAGTGATGTGATATTTCTAATAGTTCTCTTTACAAGAAAAAGAGCACAAGTACCAACTGTGTAAACTTTCCTACACGTACCAGTTTGTTATTGTTCTGATAAATACCTAAAGAAATGGAAATAAGTCTGTCCTACATCTGCTATGTTTACAGTTTCTGCGATGGTAAACTTCCCACTCCAGGGTATTTTTGTGGTATTTAACCACTAAGAATTGAGCACAGACCAGCAGTTCATTTGAAATATGACAGTATGACGGTGGCTGGTAACATGCTGGAGTTCAGCAAGATTTGATAAATCACTACCCTGCTGAGCTTTGACATTCTTAAGCTCATAGCTGCTACTTAGGAACAGAGAAGAAATAAAAGCATCCAGAAGCTTGTGACCTTCAAGTGTCCTTAGACTGGCTGTGAGTTTTTGAACAATTATTTAAAATAGTCTTTGCAGTGCTATGCAGCAGTATTTGAAAGTGTGCCCTCTCCCCCTCATTAGAATAGAAAGAGCTTGTATTGAGGTTAATGGAGAGTGTCTGACACTAATGCATCTATGGGGAGTGTAACTATCAGGCTAAGAAGCAAGAAAATCCCTTTTTTTTTTTTCCCTAAGGCAAAGTAGATGAAGAACTTTTCCTTGCTTGTGTTTAAGAACAAAAGGAAAATTGTCACTGAGCTTTTACAAGAGATATGAGAGGGAAAAACAATTTCCTGTTCCTTTCTGCTGTACTCTTTTTGGCCTGTGGGGATCAAGAAAGATCTGGTTGTTCAGACTGCAGAGTGGAAGAGTGTTACACGTAGGACTTGGGACACAGCACTGCATTAAGTCCTGTGTTCATCTTAGTTGAGAATGGTTTCTTAGCTACCACACAGCCGGTAGGTTTGTTGGTTTGTTTGCTGAACATAAGGTTTTGTTCAACCAAATGAGGTTTTAGATCAATGAAGACTAAAACTTCTTAAACAGGTAAGTCACTAGTATGTTGATGCAGGCTCTGTTCATTAGAAATCACTGACTTATGATTAGATGCCTTGATTTTTGTTGTGCATGTGTATACCTTTTTAAAAATAGTTAGCTTTTATTTTGGTACATGTGCACACCCTCTCTTCCACATTCCACCAAAAATGGAATGACAGGTTGAATATGTACCAGGTAGAGGTTCTGCAGGATTTGACAAAAAAACCCAAAAAATCAGATTTCAGCTCTTCATGGGCTGGTAGTATATCAGTGAGGCACTTCCTTTGCTTTAAAAAGGAATATATAGTACCTTTTATTCTGATCTTTTGGAAAATGCCTTTACATTTGATAATCATTTTAAATGCCCTTTGCAGTATGCCTGTCTGCCAGCACGAAAAGTTATTGAGGCCAGCAACGTTTGTCGAACCAACATGGACTGCCAGAAGGACTTTGTTCCAAGCTTTTGTGTGACTCCTTCTTTAGAGAACCAAACAAGGCTAATCAGGGTAAAACATCCACCCCATATTGACATGCTGTATGTAGGACACCCCATGCATCTTCAGTACACAGGTTGGTATTATTTCTTAAAACAGCTTAACAAAAAAGATTTCTAATATGGTTTACTTTGCCTGGCTGCTTGAACAAGGTCTTGGAGCACTTGTCAGTTAATTTGTTTAATGCAGAATCCATTTCTTGTTACAGCCAGTGGAGAGACATGGACTACTCAGGCCTAAAATGAAATGTGCACAATGCAATGAGTTACGAAGGTAATAGAAACCATATGTGGTATGAGATGGTTGTGTTTTTCAGAAAAGTATGAAAGGGCTATTTCTGTAACAGATCTCACTCAGGTTAGTCATGGGAACCAGGCACCTGCATTTTCCTGACACGTAAACTTCTCAAAATGCTATTGTAAAATTTCTAGGGCATCTTGCTCTAACACCTTGCCTGGAATATTAGCGTGACTGCTTAAATCACACCTAATATCCAAGTATCTGTGGCAGATTCCCATGATTACTGAGCCACAAGTACAATCACAACATAGTTTTTTCCTGATTATTTTTTTATTTATTTGAGTGCCCTAAATTAAATAACATATAACAGGTTAGTTCCTTACTTTGAAATGGACTATGGCTCTCCGTTAGGCAAGCTTATATCCTTGAGCCACATATACATGTAAAAAGTAATTCTGCTCGTGGAGCAAGTATGGAAAGAATGAACAAACTCATCAACATACCTACTTCGTAGCTTGAGTGCCATGGTGAAAATTAGCTTCAGATGGGCTTAAAAATTTATGAAGTGTTAAACTACTTTCTCTTCCTGTGAGGAACCTGTCTGTTCCTCATAGACAGCTATACTTCGTAGGGGGAGATTTTACTTCAGACATCTTGAAGTACCTCCTTAGCAAGGCATTGTACTTTTCTGAATAAGCACTGGAATTAGGTACAAAAGAGCTTTAGAAACAGTGATGAAATCTGGTAGTGTAAATCCATTAGCATTCTTGCATAAACATATTTTTAGTTAATCTGTCAGTCTTTATCTTTCTGTGCTGGTCATATTTTGATACTCTGTGACAAATTATTTATTTCTGTTTACACTATACTCTCATTTAAGCCCAAAATATGATCTCTTCACTTGTTATTTCTGCCCTCTTGCCATTTAGGAGGAAAACATTGTTCACCTGCATGATATCAACACACAGTTCTATATTTGATGACATCTATTCCAAATGCAGCAACAAAGTTTAAGAATAGAGTTTGATAATTATTTTAAGTTTTCTTTCTTGGTCTCTAACAATACAAACTGTAGGTATCTGGAACAATTGATATTGTTCTCTTTTCCAATATGTTGAAGCAATGGAGTTTTAGTGTTTACTACTGAACAGTAATTCTGCAAAACAATCGAACCTGTCAGTCTTTCAGAAGTCAGAAAACAATGTTATTGCATCTAAAGAGGTAGTTCTACTTTCAGAAGTTACTGTGTGAGAATACAATTTACAGTGTATTTACAGGTAGATAATTCTGAAGTGATCTACTGTACCCTGGGAATTGCACATTGTGTTAATTTGAAAGCTAAAAGCTTGACTTTATTACAAGCTTTGCTGCAAATGCAACCTATGCTCTATGTTCCCCTTGGAAAAACACCAGAGCTAAAATTACAGGATCTGATCCTGGCTTGGGCAGCAGGTAGTCTACTGTACCATCGTAGAGTTCCATGCATTCCAATGACACAACTTCTAAATATTTCAGACTTAACTTTGCACTGTACAATGCTGACTTGGGGCCAACAGGTTTGATTTTTTTTTCCAAATGTGACTGATCAGAATGTGGTAACCATTTTTTTACAGTTGAGAAAGGAAAATAATTTCTTCCTCTACTGTGTGAATTTTGAAATAGCAATACATTTTAGTGAAATGCCTTATTCTTTAGTGTGATATTTCTGCCTGCAGGAAACATTACTTTTTAGAGTGGTGCTACATTTAACACACAACCAGATATGGGAGTTGCACTAGTGTGTACTATGACTTTACTTTCTCTAGAAATATCGCTAAAGTAATGTTTGAAAAACATTCTAAGATTATGCATGTATTATTTTCTAGTTAGGCTTGTATTGTTGTCATGATAGTCCTGATCCATGGAGAAGCAGTAATTATTTCATATTTTCATTTGAAGCTAGCTTCCAGATACAATATTTTTAAAAATTTATATCCATGTTAGCTACTTACAAGAAATAGGCTATACAGCTTGCTTCTATAAAATGTTTCTGTTTTCTCAAGTAAAATATCCTAGAAAAAATATTTTTTGTTGATATGGATGCTATATATAGCTCTTGTTTCCAGTATAAAACAAAAACCTGTGAAGAATCATAATTCTAAATGAACTTACAGTGCTGGAGATTTGGCCAAAACTAAAACAGAAGGAATGATTAGGAATACATATTGTTTAGGATGGACACATTGATTAATCCTTTTAGTTAGCATTCTCTCTGTAAAAATTATCTAATGTAATCCAATATAAATTCATACTGTGGGTTTAATTCATGTGGTATTACTTAAGACTTTTAGAATTTCTTATTGCAGGCCTGTTACGCTTTAGAGGCTCTCCCTATGTTGGACAGATGAATATAAGGTTGAAGTGGAAGGCCCTGCCATTATTGCCATGCAACTTTGCAGTGCTTCTTCTTTATTTTGTATGGGTTTTTTTATTCCTTCATGTCATTTCTGGTATTGCAAAATCTTGGCTTCCTTCTCTAGCTCTTGTTGGTTGGGAAGAATCTGGTGACTAACATTCACATTTGGAATTCACACTGCTTGAGAGAAGATCATATCCCTGAATGTTACTGTATCTGCATCGCCAATCAGGGATCAAAAAATGCAAGATTTCCTTCATGAAAAGAAGGTGGAACTTACCTAGAAAATAATTTCCCCAAGCTGGACCAGTGTCCTACTTCTTTTGTATCCAAGTCTTAAAAAAAGCCACTTCCTGGCTTTGGGGAGCTTTTTGGGCAACAGCAGCCGTAATCCCTGACGAAGGTCTATCTGGTACAGTCTGGTTTCTCAGTATTTCCATGCTTGTTTCCCCTTATTGCTGAGGATGATCCTTCTTTGCTTTCAACCTATATTTAAAGGGTTACATGCATAGTTCTTCTGGAAATGACACAGAAATATCTCATGCTGTACTGTCCCTCTCCTCTATAGCATACATGCCCTTTCCCCCATGAACAGGTTTTGAAAAGCTCTTTGGTCAACCTAGTCTCCAAATCACTTCTAATTAAAATTGTGTCCCTTGTGCATTCTTCTCAATATTTGCCAACATCATCTAGCATTAGCCAACAAAAGAAATGTTAATTCCAGGTCAAAGAATTGTTTAATTAGAGTGGGAAAACAATGACTGTTTTCTCTCACCCAGCCTCATTGCTGTTCACCTCTTCCCAGCACTGTATTTTGAAGACAAGCCTGGAGAACATAATTTCTGTAATTCTTTTGTTATTCCTCGAAGGACAGATTTCCCTGCTGCCATTGGGTTTGATCCATTACAGCCACTAAATTCATTGCCTTGTATTACAGTGTCTAGAGCTCAGACCAGCAACTTCCTGAAGAGTTTCTTTGTGTTTTGGAGATTGCTTCAGCAGCAAGGTTTGGAGTTTAGATTCACATCTAGTGGCTGTCAGAGACAACAGACAGTTTGTTGTAACAAAGAGGGAAGGAGATTAGTGATCCATTCTCAATGTAGGCACAACTTTAGGTTCAGGATGGTGACTTCTTAGTGGCCATTAGGTGTTTGTCAAGAGGCAGTCAAGCTTTGAAATTACAGTATATTGCAGTGTGTGTCTTTTGAAACCTTTGAATGTGCTGGCTGCCTCAGCCATTTTGCTATTTTGGCTCACGAACAAGAGGTCTGATCAGATGTTCTGATACCAGCCTTCAGCTTGATGAGTTGTTTGCTTTGGATATCACTTGACTTGGATGCCTCCGACTTTCTGAGCTGGGTGGTGTCCAGGATTTCTGTCTGTTATGTTCTTCACTCAGTAGTCCAACAGACTTATTTATTTTCTCTCAGTTCCCCTAAATCAAAAGTCTTTCTTAAGCTAGGGTAAGAGAGAACATGATTTTCAAGCTGACTTGGCACAGCTGTGGCAGCTTTGGCATTGGAAAGTTCTCTGCTTGTTGCCACACCAAACCCATTCTTCTTTTGGGACTCCTTGCTAATCCAGATGTCTCCATCCCATGGTATGCTTGCTGGTTGGACTAATTACCGCTTCTGACTCATCGGAAGGGCGCCTTTGTTAACAGAAGAAAATGTGTTTATGTGACTAAGTGGACCAGTTCTCTGCCTTATGTGCCTTTGGAACTACTTTCCCCTTGTCTTTGTTCCGGTTGAATTGTTTATTGAACCTGAAGAAATCTGATCTCACTCTTAACTAAGATATACTTAGCAGCACTTCTGGTATGTTATGTACTAGTGCTATGAGGTTCCCAGCGATCTCTTAGCCTATGGTTTTAAAATTTCTCAAAGGGTGGGTTAAATTGTTACTTTCCCAAGGGATGTTTGTGTTGAGTGGGATTTGAACTCTTGCTTTCACATATCTCTGTGGAGATGGTATTTCTTATGGCTATAACTTTTTCCCAGGTCAGTAGGGAAAATTCAGGCCATTGTGGCTGGCCTCAACTCGCATCCAAAGTTGTTCTTTAGGGACAGAATGACTATTGTTGATACTGTGCAAGCTCATTCTTAAGGTCATTTTCTAATTCTGCCTTAATTTACCTAAACCTCTTCCTTCTGGGGATAAGACTCTGCTGTGCTATGAGTGGAGCCTTCTAGTAGGAAAGGTGTCTTTCTTCAGCTGTCACAGAAGTAAGGCTTTCAAATGGTCCCTGAGGCTGGCAGACTGAGACTGCTGTTTACTTTGAAAGACTGCGTCAAGACTTTTTATGAGACAACCCCCGTACTAACAGAGTACTCTGTGAGGTCTCAAGCTACCTCAGTTTTCTTTGAGGAATCTCTCATAAACATTTGACATGCAGTCAGCTGAAGCTTAATGTATACCTTCAAAGAAGTTACAGGACTAAAGAAGTGTTTCAAGGTCATGTGGTGCTTGACACTGCAATTTTCCAGTCACTATTTATAGGAAGGATGCTGAGTCCCACGTCCCAGGTTTTTAAATTGCACTAAGCTACATCTTGGAGTCACTTACGGTATCATCTGAAGACAGAAAAAGAAGCTACTTATGTACTGGCTAACCGGTGTTAAGATGTGTAATGCAGCTGTGCATCATCTCCTAGCCTTTGCTTTCTCAGAGTGACTCCAGAACTCTGCTCCCTATCTGTCCCGCTCCTATACACCATAAGCTCAGCCTCCGGTCACAGGGATCTTCTGCAGGTACTGCAAGAGAAGAATTTTCTGGCCTTCTGGCCAAAGTACACGTGTGCATCCACAGTATGAACATGTGGACTGCATATGTTGAAAAAGTCTCGTAACTATAATCTCTTTTTATATGTTTTTCTTTGAAAAGGATTTAAATTACACAATGTGGTCTTTATGACTACAGATGTCCAGTTGCCTCTGAAAATATGTATCTTAGATCTACTTTTACTGAGATCATGCTAACTGTATTTTGTGGAGTGACTTTACTATGATAGTGATCATGGTTAAGAAAGATTTAACGGCTCCACTCTTTTAAAAAAAAAAAAAAGCAAAACTGTATTTAGATTGGTTATTCATCCTTGAAGAAACGTCATTTCAGATCTGATTTTTCTGCAAAGTTATAATCTAAAATTCATAACGTTATAATCCTGAAATGACTGTTCATGTTTTGTGTATCTTCATATTTTCATTTCAGTAAGTCTCAGCAGTTTTGTACCACGACAAAACTTTCTAAGCATCGATCTGCCTGTGGTGATAGAGACGTTTTGCAAGTATCCTTTGAAGTATGTTTGCTCTTTTAAGGCAAGAAGGGAACTGTTTAGAATTTGGTGACCCAGCAAAATTTCAGTTGGATATCATTTTAGACAGGATGCTCTGAAATATTTCTGCAGAGTTCTGACATCTTTATCCCATCTCTGCATTGATTATTGTCCATGTGCCAAGCTCAAAATGAAATCTCTCACTTTCTTGTGCTTAGCAGGATATTTTTGCTCAGTGTTTTTTTTAACTCTTTCTTGAGGATGAGTCTTAACAGCTTTGAAGGGAAAGTCAAAATAAGCCTGAATTTACGGCAGGACAAATGAGGTGTTATTGCTAGCTTTGGTGTATCAGAGTTTTATAATTTTTGAGTCATTATACCGAACTAAATAACAGGGTATGATTGTTCATTTTTTTTTTCTTCAACAGAAAAGAAAACTTAGCCTATTCAAAAAGCAGGATGATAATTCAGTTAAAACATGCTTATTAATGAACGAGATGATATATATACGCATACATAAAGGTTAGTAGGCTTGTGTGTGGCTAATCTAAGAACCCTTAGCCTTAGAAAGTGAAATGTTTATGCATGGCTATAGAACAATTAAATAGTGTGGTTCAGTGTAGTCCATAAAACTAAAGTAAAGATGCTACATAAGCTCCCCTTTTCTGGCAACACACCAAGGTTCACGCTGACCCAGCTGCTTTCTGAATCATATGTCTTCTTGTCCGGCCATTATAGGATGGAGGTAGGTATTACAGTTAGCAAGCCTTTACCAACAATAAAAATTATCTACCCTTGCCTCATTCTCACATGCACATGCACGTACAGAAATCCACTCAACTTTTCTGGCTAACAGGTAAGTAGGAGAGAGAGGCCAGATTTCCAATTATATTCTAGCCATTTACTTACTCCAGCGAGGGAGTGTTTTGGAAAATATTCCTAATCATTATTTCATACTTAGGTCATAGGTCTAGAATACCTTCTTACTTCAGGCATGGTGTCAGAGCTATAACCTTCCTCCAAAACCACACAAAGCAAGGGAGAAAGATGGGCAGTATTAAGTGTGGTTTTCCTGTCTCCTGCTTTCATCTGAGTTGTGAAGAATGCAGGTTGTTTAAGTATCTAAACCTAGTGCTTAAAACCAAATGAATCTATAAAGGCAATCCTCTGAGCTGAGGAATGTAAAACTCATTGTACTCATATAATTTCTGTGAAACAGAATGGCAGCTACAAAAGATAACCCTCATATGTTTCTCTCTGCACACTAGAAATAAAAAATATGTTTTATATTAAATTTCTTTTTTACATTTTCTTGGATATTATTCATGAACCTTAACTAATGTCAACCAGGTACCTAATTTCACTGTCAGGAGCACTGGCAGTTATCAATGCTGTACCCTGCTTCGCTTTGGATGGTCAGTGGATATTAAATTCATTCCTGGAAGCCACTCTGAGCTCCCTGATTGTAGAAAAACAAAACAGGGAGCTTGTTGGCTTTTTAATTTTGCTTGCCGGTAGTGCACTTCTGGCTGCCAATGTTGCACTGGGACTTTGGATGGTGACAGCACGATAGGACATTGGATGCGCTTCCATCAGTTCTCAAAGTACACAGAAATAATGAATCCATTGCCTTTTAAAACTTGTTCAAGTACTGAGATTGAAATAATTCCCTTAAAGTGACACTGAAAGAACAATCATTGGTGGCTGCTGTTTTAATTTAAAACTGTACAACGTTGTGCCTGTGGTCATGGGAAATCTAATAGAAAGAAGTAGGAACCTTTTTAAATACTCTTTAAGCACTGTACTAATTTTGGAGAAACTGCATTGTAAAGTTTCAGAGGAAAAAGCCTAAGACTTCATTAATTTAGATCTCAAAATAAAGGAATTACTTGGCCTCAAACATTTGTAAAGTGGGAGAAAAAAACACTTAGGTTTTATTTTATAATTTGAATAATTGTCAGAAAATTTGTCTGGGCTCTGATCATTTCTCAGTCAGCATAGTCTTGAGTGTCTTGTTTTGTTTTTTTAATCTGGTATTCTACCAAACTGGACTCTAAGAAACCCTAAAGTCTGATCTCAAAATGGTGAAAAGCTAAGTAAATGCTTACCATGTGTTAATGAGGAGAGGGAGGCCATATGGGTTAGTATCTTTCCTTTTCAGCTGGCCAAAATGACTGGAAGCAGGTTGTCCTCAGGATGTAGATGAGAAGTGCCCAATGTCTGTTAAGAATGAGGCATGTGGGAGGATATCAAAGCCCACATGTCTGTTTCTTACACAGTCAGTTGTATATTATCATACGCAGCTGAGGATTTTTTAAAGGCAATATTTGTCAGCAATAGCTACAAGATAACTGCAATTTAGCTGAAGTATGCTGTGCACAATTATTCCTAAGTGATAAGTAATGTTTGTGTTGTTTTACTCGGAAAATAATACTGTATTATACCTGTTTACAGTTAAAAGTGGAACCTGTTGTTTTTATGGTGTCTGATGCTACGCATGTAATATGTACAGTAACTCACTGATGGTTTTCTGTCTTTCAAAGGGTTATTTTCCTTTGCTAGGATTCATTCTGTTCAAAGATAACTAACAAAGATGTTTAGCTGAAGCTGGTCTTGGATCAGAATTATTTAAAGGAAGAATATGATTGTGAATTGAACTATTTGAACATTTGGCTTTGCTTTCTGAAACGAATACAGACCATATCCTTGTTCTTAAATGACCAGTGGAAGAACAGTCAGTGTTTTGCTGACTGAAATGTGTCTGACGTACTTTGAAGTTCTTTAAGTCTGTAATATTTTGTACCCAATAGGATTATATATTGACTGTCATGTCCTCCTGTGATATATTGCCTAGTTTATATAGATCGGGCTCAGTCAGAGCTTGCCTCAATATAGGCTGATATTTTAAAAAAAAAACACTCTAGTTTGGGAGCCTAAGTATTTGAAATAGGAAAATTTTGAAAAATACCCTGAAGTTCTGGCTCGTACAGTGCTCCCCATAGGAGCTGCTGCAGCTCAGAGTTCCTTTACAGAAATGGCCTTTCCATCAGGAACTGAAGTGGAAGCTAAGCTCACAGATACTGGCCTGCAGAGAGTACTGAAGCATTCATGACCAGCTAACATAGATTCTCTTGACACTAAAGGTAAAAGCCTGGGTAATTTTAAAAGCGGGGTTCAGCCCAATTCTTGGTGCTACTGCATGGATTCATAACTATGATGTTTGCATTTGCCCACTGATGTGTTACTGTATTTTTGCACAGTAGCCTTCACACTTAAGATGTATTCTTTTCTTAAGATGATAAAAGCAGTAATGAGAGAGCATGTTGGTTTATTTGTTGTTGTGTTAGTTTACTTACCTCTCTAGTGCTGACACAGGCTGGGTGGGCCTCTTGAAGTTCAACTCTGTCGGGTGGCAGGCCCGTGCCTCTCATTTTCAATCATTTCAACCCAGGCATGTCAGCACAGATCCCAGTAGAGAGGGTAAATCCTCCAGTCAATCCAGCGTGAGTCGGTCCCTTTGGGGACTGTTAAAAGTCACACAAAGTGCAAGAAAGGAAAAACAATCAGAAACTAGCAGCGGGCTTCTCTTTCTTCAGGAGACACCCTGAAAGTCTAACTCATCATCGCTCCTGGAAAGGTATAGAGGTTTCAGGGTAGCAGTTCTGACGGGCCATTCTGCCATCTCTCCCTGAACAGGAGGGATAGGGGCAGCCTGGTTCTTGCACAAAGCCTGGCTCTGAAGCTGTGCTCCAGAAGCCTGCTCACTCACCTAAGTGGCTGCTTACTAATCTGAGCTCTTCCTTTCAGTGGCTCTGTGCCACTTTCCTCTGTCTCTGTGGTTTGTCCAATCTACAGTGCACAAAATTAATTTGCACTTAGGAGTTTTAATGCAATTTAGTAAGACAGGATATTTACTTTTCAAAACGGCTACTATTTATGTATCGGAGTTGCAGTGCTGTCTTACTTCTAAAGCAACAACAAATGCATCTATGGTGATTTCAAAAATATTTTGTGAAAAACATTTCAAGTTTGATACTTTATATATTCACTGACTGACTACAACTTCTTGGGACAATCTTTTAGCATAGTACCCCTCCTGGAGATGTAAGCAAGAGATTTAAAAAAACCAAGTTTCTGAATTAACATATACAAGTTACATCTGCTATAATGAGACTGGCAGGTTGTTCCTGGTTATTTAATGTGCTACCAAAACATGATGTTTTATCAAAGAAAACTAAATCCGGTTTATTTTACTTTACACAATCACTGAAAGCCACAGTTACACTAAATAGAACTTCCATCTGTGTTTGACCTCATAATCAGAAAGAGGGTGGAGAAGACATCGGTCATGGTTTTAGCAAAACAGATACACTAGTGCACTGTAAAGACCCTGGTTATCTTCTATGAGAGAAATAGTACTAGAAGTGTTTACAAATAATTGATGGGTCCATTTCTCCGTGTGCTGGAATTCTACTGAATAAGGGTCGATTTAGTTATGTACAGGTGCATCAAGACTTAAAGCAAACTGGGTCTGAGTGGCGACCCAGCACATCTTAGATTACCTGTGGACAAAGGTGATAGTTAAGTTGGACCACTCTCTGAAGAAAAAAGTTGTTCAGTGGATCCATTTCATTCTCATGTAATCCTGACGTATGGATGACATTCTGATAAGCGAAGTGCCATACATAAAGTTATTGGGAGGGTTTTGCTGGGTTTTGTTTGTTTGTTTGTTTAGCAAGAGAGACCACAGAAGGACACAGAATGATTTTTGTGTGTTGGATTTTTACTCTAGAGTATTTGTGATGTTTTTTCTATTTCTGTTTTTGTAAAAATTGAAAGGAAGCCTTTCTTCAAAATGAAATCTTTCCATTTTGCATTCTAATTAGCCCCTCAGAATGTAATGTATTCTTTAATACAGAATCCATCAATATAGAGCATATTGACTGGAGTGTAAAACAGAACACTTAAAGATTGGATAGGTACTACTCTTGATGTATATACTATGCATTTTAAATCTGTATCAGATGGAAAAAGTAATGTCTAACACTGGGAAGTGTTATACGTAGCTTGTACTTGAAAATTGTCAGAAGACTTCCATAATTGTAATCAGTTGTTGTTCTGATTTGATTTTATGAGAATTTTTTTTATATCAGCAAAGACTTCCGTAGCATGTTCTGATAATGCATGATACAACATGAAAATGGCCAACTTCTTAGCATGTGGGAAGTTACACGCTATTTGCTAACTTAGGAAATGAAAACCAGCTTGCTTCCATACAAGTTAAATGAAAGAGACTTCACTAGAAAAAGTATAGACAAACTTGAGGATTAGTCAGCCCAAATTTATGAGCCACAGTGGAAAATCTGTTAACTGATCCTTTTTATTTAGAATGAAACAACCAACAACAACAGTTATATTTTTCAGTGATGATTCTGCATTTGTGTATTTGTGTGGGTATACATGTATACATACATGTAACAGATACATACACAGCCACAGTCTGTATTGCTGCTTTTTTAGGGATAACTTAGAGCAGTCCTCCATACTCTGCAACGTGGGCTTTTTTTTTCTTTCTCTCTATGAATTCCACGGCTTTCTCTGGATTTTAAAATTGCAACTATGTTTTTCTCCCATAACTGATCTAACTTCTTTATTAACACAAGACAAGTGATGGACATAATGTAACACAGCTGCGTGAGTTTTGTTCAGCTGATGTTTAAAATATGTTTCTTGCTTTCTGTGAGGCCTCAGTTCACATGATAAACACAGATTTTTCAGGGCGGCTAAAAGAGGTCAACCTTAGAATCCATCACTTTCTAAATGCTGCTATTTGTACTGTTCTGAATGATAACTGGGGTGAGTGAGACTGTGTAGAGTATACTCAAAAAATAAAATTTTCAGGACAGACCTCCCCATGGTGGTCAGGGTGTTTCAGCTTTCTTGAAATAAGGATATATTTTTGTTCAGTTTAGAACATCAACAATCCAAGTTTTCCCAATAGTTTCCTATACATTTTACATGATGGCAAAGGGTACAAATAATTTTTTAAATAAATTTTGTATGTCTTCTATCTGAAAGATCGGAATTTGTGTCTGGATATCATTTATGACAGATGAAGAAGGCTTATAAAGGTTTATGTAGCCTAGTCTGTATTTAATTGTTTTTAAAAGTTGTGATTTAAACTCTAGAAATCAATTATTTGTAAAATATGCATTCTATACACCTGCATTCAGACCAATTCCCACAACCAGTCTTGCCTCAGCTTTGTTCTTGTGACCTTGTGAGTAAGCAAGCTGAATCTAACTCAGGTAAGATCCAATATTAGCAGTTATTTTATACGCTCTTTATCCTGAATTTGATGTGACACTATATATAGATTAGTTATTTAATGTGGCTGAGTTATCTGGGGTACATATCCTGTATTAATGGAGCATTTGGGAAGCATTGTACTAAGGGCTGCCAGAAAAGGGCAGCTCTGTGACTCTTTCTTGTTCCTCGGACTCATCCACTACGTTCGTGTGAAGAGCAGATGGCAGCGACTAAGGGCAGTGAAGAACCTCAGTTTATGGCAGC